CCTCCGTCAGTGAAATCTTCTGGATTATCTTCTGAATTATTGTCTTTAGAGTCATCTAAATCTCTGTCTTGTTCAATCTTCTTTTTTCCTTTATTTTTCTTTTTAATTTGTAATTTCTTCTTCTTCTTCTTCTTTTCTGTTCCTTTTTATCTCTGGTTTGTTTTCTTTTGAATGTGTGTTTTGATGTGATTATGGATTGGGATTATATATATATATATATATATATATATAATCCCAATTTTCAAATGGGAATGGATGGGGTTTAGGCATAGGTGGATTGATATAAAATTATATCAATCCACCACCTTCCGTTTTATTTTTAATTTTTTTAAAGTTAAGGTATTACATCAAAGCAATCATTATTGTTATTTTTATTTTTTGTAAAACTCATCTCGCTAATCGACTTCTACAAGACTCGAATGGCCTTCATGAACACATTTCCATACATAGGCCCTGTTTGAGCCCCATTTTTACCTCATTAAAATGAAAAATATGATCGTTATTCATCACATCAAGTCATCATTTTTGAATTTCTATATTTTGTGTGGGATCCATAACGTCTCTATTTTTCATTCTCATTTTACAAATAATGTGGCTCAAAAGGGCTCATAAGTATCATCTATGCTTCTTTTGAACTTTGATGAGCTTTAACCCTTAGGTGCAATCATTGATTACAATAATGATAGAAGTCTTATTTAGCCCTTGTTTGAGCCCCATATTTTTGGAAGAATGAATTTTGAATGGTATATTGATGGAAAATGTGTGGTTAAAAAATAAGAAAAAATTTTGAATTTGCGTATAATATTATTTTATTGAAAAATGTGTGGTTGAAATGATGTCAAAATACTGTTAAAAATGTATTTTTCCAAAGAATGGGGTTCAAACAATGCCTTAGTTCAAGAATTTTACGTTACAAAAGATTTAAGATAAAACTAAACAACAATGACAAATCAATTAAGAGTGCATAAAATTAAAACCAAATTTTGATGGCAATATTATAAAATGTAATTATAATTCAAAGGGACAAACGAGTTAAAAGAGGGTAGAAAACAAAACATCCACAAAAACGATATTGAAGACAAAATAAATGAAAATTTGGACTATTCAATACTTAAATATTATGCTTTTGTGATACTATTATTACCGTTCTACATTTTTGTCTATGTGGATAGAGGAGAAAAGGGACTCGATGTGCATATGAGAGAAGCAAATAAGTGATCCAAATAGTAAAGCTAAAAATATTCATAGTTCGAAAGGTTGTGACATTTATAATTATAGTAATGTTGATCATTTATTCGGAAACAAAGATACTGATAACAAGATTAACATAGAAAAGCTAGTCAGCAAGCAAGAACACAATCAGAAAATAGATTTGATTTAAACGTATATCTTACTTTTTTTACTCTATCATATCAGATTTTGTGGTAACTTGTGAGATATGAATTAATATTCTTTTTGTTTCAAATGAATGTAATTATTTGGAAGATTGGCTAAAGAAAAACTTAAAAGGCAAAATGTTTTGAAAATTGATTCGATCATCAGCACCCCCCCCCCCCCCCCACAAAGTTCAAAGGTCAAAATGTTGAACCATGGTCCAATTGAGATCAAATTCGTGATTTTTAAACAATTAAAAAAATATACATTTACATAAGTCTGATCGGCTAAATTCAGAACGAGTCACGAGTTTTCCAAAAACTGACCGAGACAAATTTTTAGAGCTTGTTTGATAAAGCTTTTAAGCTAATTAAAATCAATTTTTCGATCGTTATTTCACTATTCCAATCGTCATTTTTGAATTTTTCTTTCACAGATAGAACCTAATTTATCTCTAACGATCAAAAAATCATTTATCAAAATCCCAATCAGACAAACACTTAATTAGAAATTTTATAAGCCTAATTGGACTGATTTTGGTTCCAATTCCCTCGATTGAAAGGGGTGATGCACCCCTCCAATGGCGGCCCCCTGTTTGAGGGATTGGCTTTTGAGCCTGGCCTCCAGCAGGTTTGTAAATTAAAAGGAGAAAAGCGATTTGCCCAAAAAATATACCCGACTTTTCTTCAGTGACGAAATCTGTACCCGAATTTATGTCAGGTTCTTAACTGAACCGCCAATCTCCATTTCTATTTCCTTCTTCACGATCCAGTCTTCGAATTTCCTCTGCTAAATAAAATTACAAGTCACTGATCCTCTCAACAATTGAAATTTTGTTAGAGTTTCGTTTCATCTGTGTTTCTTCAAAAAAATTTCTTCATCTTGTGCATAGAAATTTACGAATTTAAGGCTCAGCACTCTAGAGTAGGAGAAAGATGATGGTGGAGGATCTCGGGGTGGAGGCGAAGGAGGCGTCGGTGAGAGAGGTGGCAAAGCTGCTTCCACTGCCGGAGCTCTTGCAGTCCATTGCTTCCATCAAAGCCGATTACATTGCTCGACAACAGGTTTATTTTACTTTATATAATTTAGCTATACACTTTATTCTTAACCTTTATTATCTGTTACAGAGAATTCTCTTAATTGTGTTCGAATTGAGCTTTGGATTCCAAGGCCTCAATCAGGTTTCATTGCTGAATTTTAGAGTAAACGCTATCTCCAACGGTTTCATTTTGTTCACGATTCAAGGATATATGAAAAATTATTGTAATTGTGGAGCAATGATAAACTCGGGAAAGTGTAACTTCCTTGGCCATCTGGGTTACAGCTTTTAATAACTCACTACCCCTATACTAGACTAAACAAGAATGACTGTGATGCATAGGAAAGGAAGATGAATCATAATGCCTCATTTCTATTACTGATACATAAGACAAAAAACCTAACAACAATAGTGACTAGACTCCTTAAGATGTGTAGAATTTGTCCTTGAAATTTCGTTCCATTAGTGGAGATCGATGTCGGGAGCTGCAATTGAGTGGGCTTCTGGGAAATATGTCCCTTGACATAGTGGACCAGGTAGCTTGTTCCGTAGCATTAGCTTCTTTTCATCCACTGTTTTATTGGATTTGAAGTTTCAATCTTTTGAATTTTGGATTTTACTCACATGCATTTTTCCATGTAATGATGTAATTATGACGCTATGTTAGAAGATTATTCAAGTATGGTGATAAACTTCTAGTTTTGGTTTGTTATCAGGCTAATGATGCACAACTCAGTACGATGGTTGCCGAACAGGTAAGCTACACTTCTAAGCCTTCAAACCTTGTTATATTGCCTAATAGATCAGTTGGGGCAAATTATCCTTTTTGATGCATTCTAGCTTCCTGTAAGCTTATGGTTTAAGAATAGGAAAACTGTATATTGTTTTCATTTTTGATGATTCGTTCCTTTCCCCCTTCTGAATTTTGTAATTTCAGGTTGAACAGGCCCAAGCCGGTCTAGAATCGCTTTCTTTATCTCAGAAGACAATAAACCATCTCCGAGAAAATTTTGTGGAAATCGAAAAGTATGAATATGGTGCAACATGCTCATATACATATGAATTATCCTGTTTCCCCCAACCCCAAAATGTCTCTAATATGTGATGACCTATTCACGTTTTGGGTTATCTAATACTTTTTTGTTAAATCAGGTTGTGTCAAGAATGTCAGACGTTGATTGAAAATCATGATCAAATAAAACTCCTTAGTAATGCAAGGAATAATCTAAACACAACTTTGAAGGTGAGCATACTTCCTTACCTTTTTCTCTATTTCATCAAATAATCAATATGCATAATCCAGTATTATGGTCATTCTTTTCTTTTTAAATATATCTTATAGTCATGTCCATTTTGGTATATTCCAGCTAATTTCTCTGTTGCTAGCCGTTCTGTCCATATGTGCTTTTTCCCCACATAACTGGACATTTAATGCTTCTTAAGTATGAACTTTCTGTGGCTTCCCTTCTTGTTTAGGATGTGGAGGGTATGATGTCGATATCTGTAGAGGCTTCTGAAGCACGGGATTCTTTGAGTGATGACAAGGAACTTACTAACACCTATGAGGTATAGCTTGTTTTGGACATGGATTACCGTTCTTTTGCTGATCAACTAAAATTATTTCGTCACATGTTATGCTGCTAAAAATATTGTCTTTCATTTCTTATCTTCAATTAATTGTAGAGGTTAACTGCACTGGATGGAAAACGGAGGTTTGCATTAGCAGCTGCTGCATCTCACAAAGAAGAGGTTGGCAGACTAAGGTCAGGATATATGCCTTGAGTATTATCCCGATGTTTTATAAAGAAGAAAGAAAAAAATGAGAGAGAATCATCTTTTGGCTGTGAGTTCATCATTGGTGATAAAAATTTCTCTCTGATTGCCTGCTGTTTGACTTATAAAATTGATATCAGTAATCACACTTGTAGATAGACGAATCCTTTCCTCTATCTTGTAATTAAACACTAAGGCTGCATTGCGTTGGTTTGCTCATTTACTGTTTGGTTCTTTCTACCCATGTACGGGATATGCTATTCTTTGTTGAAAATGAAAGGTGAAATTTTCCATTTCATTTGAATGTAGTGTAATAGAATGTGATTTATATTTTGAGTTTATAATTTAATATCTTTTCTGTTTGATACATATTTTGTTTCTGTGATGGTTTTCTTAAATTGTTTAAAAAATGAAGTTTTTTATTTATTTATTTATTTTATTATTATTATTATTATTTTTTTATGATGAAGGGAGTACTTTGAAGACATAGATCACACATGGGAGACATTCGAGAAGACGTTATGGGGTCATATTTCCAACTTCTTTAAACTTGCTAAAGAGAGGTATGCTTATTTTCCTTTTAAGTTGGTATCTATTTGTTCTCACTTCCTTACATAATATTTTAATGGCATGGTCTTGTTCAAGCTTCTCCACTTGTATTTTTATATTTTTTCCTAAAAAAATTGAATTGCTTAAGAGGCTAAGACCGAGCCTGTGAGTCAAACAAACAATCTGCAGCAATGCTGGTTTGGCAAGTGCCTCTCTCTTGATATATAGAAACAAGTATTGAGAAAATTATGCAACCCTTTATCATTGAGAAATAAAAATTGGGTTATGGGGACAGAAACTAGTGATATATTAAATAAAATTGAAAATCAAAAGTTGGTTATTTGGAGATAATTACAAAGGGAGATACATAATTGGATAACATCAACATACATATTGTGGAATGAGTTTAGAGTGTGGTTTTATCTCACAATTTCAGTGTTTCTCTTAATATGATACTGCGGATGATGATCGATGATCACCTTCTAGTGAAATAGAATGTATATTATGTGGTTATTTCATGCTGTAAGAGTTCTAATACATAAAAAGTATCACAGATCTCTATAACAATGTGTATTTACCTCTTGAAAGAGGACAACTTTTGTTAATGTTATTCAATTACTCTTTGCTGCCACTTAATACATAAAACTTTCTGTTGGGATAATACTTCTACTTGTATTTTTGAAAAGAGTAATGCTAACTGTACATAAATGTGTGCAAATGGTTTACATATCGATGATGTGGAACAGAGAGAATGAAATGAAATGAAGTCAGTTAATATTATTCACATTATCAATCTGTACACCATCATGAATAAGTAGCATTGCTCTTATGAAAAATACAAATATGTGAGCAATGTATCAATTGTAAGAAGAAAGCTAAAAACTTGTATTCTATCAATTTTATGTACAATTTATATCAATGTAGCATTATTTCGTTGTGATTTTGTCAAGATTTCTAGTTAAATCCTAATTAATATTAAATTTGACTGATGACCATATTCCATCCCAAACAACTAATGAAGTATTCAAAGAAGCTTAGCTCCACAGAAATTAAACCACATTCCACAGTAACTAATGTTTTAGTTTTTCAATTACGCCCCCGTTTGGCCCCCATTTTGGAGAGATGAAAATGGGTGGAATAGTGTTTTCTGAAAAATAAGTGGTTGAAAAAGGTAGAAAAGTTTTCGATTTACATGTAATATTATTTTATGAAAGATTGTATGGTTGAAAATAGGAGAGAGAAAAATGAAATGTAATAGAATTAAAATTGATGGGGGCCAAACGGGGGCTACATGCACTATTCTGAAATGATCTATGATCTAGGTAACCTTGACCTATACGAATTGCAGCACCTATAGAGTGTTCCCATTGGGTTTTAAGGGCTTCAATCAGTGGAAGTAATTCATTTACTGTGGAAGATGTCAACGGAGACACGGGAGTATGGAACTCCGGTTGTTGACATTATTGCTGTAGTGCCATGATGTCCTTAAATTGTCTTGTAAAAATTGGCAATACGTAAAAAACTCAAATTAAAAGAAGGTTAATTGAGTCACTTATGGGTTTCTCAATTAACTTTTGAAAGAATAGAAGGACGTCTAACACGTATTGGCATTTAGGTTTGAGATTGTGGCTTTTTGGTCTACCAGTTTAGATGAGATAGAAGAGCTAAAATACGTTCCTTCAACATGTTATAGTGTGATATTATCATTATAAATCGGAGTTAAGAGTAATATTAGTGATGGTGTTTTCCCAATCTCCTCTTTTAATTTGTGCATGGGCCAATAACTGAATTTATACGAGATTCTTTATAGATTTTTGGGCCAACAGCTAAATGTATACAAAATTCTGTATTGTTTCTAAAGCTACTTTTATAGAATTGATTGACTTTTATGTTGTCTCTTTGTAGCACGGACATCCTAACTAGGGTAGTGTGTCAGTGTCGGACACGTGTCGATATCGACATTTTTCGAACACTCTACAATAATCATTTCTCTTTCTTACTATGGCTATTATATATTTTTAACTCAATTTTATTTGTAAATAACAACTAAGTACTCATATTTAAAGATTTCAACAAGAAAAATCAATAATAAGTATAAAAATAAATTTATACTATACAAATGAAGAATTTTAAATAATTTAATTAACATGTCAACGACAAGTCGTGTCAGTACTTTTTTGAAAAATTACAAGTTAACATTTCCGACGCGAAACACTTTTTTGAAAAATTACAAGTTAACGTTTCCGACGCGTTTCGCGTCGGACACGTGTTTGTATCGATGCATCATAAAGTCTTAAGCAATCAATTATTTACACTTTCCAATTGGTTTTATATTAATTAATTTCCATACAGTTTATAGTTTTGACAAGGACCTATATGTGTTTTCTGCTCTGTATATTGTTCATTATTCATGGTTCTTTTTTTTTTTTTGGTTGCAGCCCACAGACTCTTGTTCGTGCATTGAGGTATGTCTTATCTGAATGGAATACATTACTAAATGAGTCCATGGTTCAGATCATTTATGCGCTAATCTTTGTCTCTCTGTATTCCACCCCCACTCCACCCCCCAAAATTAAAAAATAAAAAAAATGAACAATATAGGGTTGTTGAGATGCAAGAAATCCTGGATCAACAACTTGCCGAAGAAGCAGCTGAGGCTGAAGGAGGTGGTGCAATGGCATCAATAGCAAATCCTCGTAGAACTGCCAAGTATTTACCTTACTATGCTAAAGCTTTGTCTTTTGACCTGATGGCTTCTTGTCTAGAGTCATTAACCATCAATCCTCTGCAATTTGTAGTTTTACATCAATAAATCTTATTGGTTGCTTTTACCTTCAGAAAATCTACCACTACAAGTGCTTCTTCTAGAAACATCGCCCAACAGAAGTTGAAGGTTCAAGGAAAAAGTTACAAGGATAAATGTTATGAGCAAATAAGGAAGTCTGTTGAAGCGCGTTTTGACAGATTGCTCAGTGAGGTTCGTCGTTTAACCTGCTTATGTAATGGCATTAGATTAGAATTGTGTGGAGTTCTCTGTCAGCTGTTCTGATAAGGATATATATTTCAGCTTGTATTTGAGGACCTTAAAGGAGCTCTGGAGGAAGCTCGAATGGTATGCATACATTGACCTTGCTAGAACCTCTATCGTTGCTAGTTAACTAAAACTATCATTTTTTATTCCTTAGCTGAACTTTTTTATAAGTAATTGAAAGGAGAAATGGTTTGAATGTTGATATTATTTTTTTGATGTTATAAACAAAACTTTACATGTCAGTGGATTCGATAGTTTGTTTGAAACCTGTTTCTTATGAAGCACTTCTCATTTACTTCTTCACTTGTCTCTTCAATTTATTTACGTGCCTATGCTATTTGTTTTGACAACAAAGTTGAGAGTTCCTCGTCTTGACTAATTTAAACAGGGTTTTTTAAACACGTGGAGGCCCCGGATTAATGCATTTCTGACAATTTGTGAGGCACTCCTTTTTGAGTAAAGAATTAAAATTAGTGAAGATTAATTTCAAAACACTGTTTGTGGAATTCATGAACTTTTGGATGGTGGTTGCTACATTAAAACTACTTGGAATGAACTACTTCATCAACAAAGGGGAGAGGTGGTGACGGGGTAGTTGACGAAGGAGGTGCAAAAATGAAAGGAGAAGAGGAAGAAGCTGAAGAAGTATGGAGAAACAAATGAGAGACGATAAGAAGAAAAAGAAACATAAGAAAAGAATATACTGTTAGTAAGAGAAGAAAATTGGTTGAGATTTTTTGTCCTAGGGTTTCCAGACAAAAGAAATAGATTGAGAAATTTTAAAGTTGTACCTCATGCTATCCGACTTGTAGGTTTTGTAGATTAGGGGATTAAATTGGGATAACTGGGATGTGTCAAAGAGTAATTTTGTTAATTTTTGAATTTAGTGGTAACCTGGTGGGTATATTATGAGCATTGGCATGAAAAGTTATTTTGATGGTTGAAGTTAGAAGCCTCTTTCGAAAATTTGAGATATCTTGAAAATACAATAATGCCTCTGAATCGAAGCATAGTGAAATGTAAGGAATTACATGAAACTGAAAGTATTCTTGATAGACTTATGAAAATATTAATTGAGAATTTGAACTACCAGCTAAAATGTCTTCAATAGACAATAGCCTATGTACTGGAATGGAACTCCCTGAAGTACTGATTTTGTTTACTTTTGCTTTCTTTAGGTCTTAATACCTGTATTTTGGGATCTTCACCTAAATGGTTCAAGTGGGAAACCTGTGGTAGAAGTTATAAAACAAGCTTGAAGAGATCATAATTCATAAATATTAATCTTTCATCAACATATACGAATTGTATTGCTAATTTATTTTATTTTGGTAAAACAACAATTATTTTCTTTCCCTGCATTGCATCATCTGGTTCTGGTTGGAACGAATTTTTGCATAGCCTTCTTATACATGAATTTTCAATTCTACCATTCCCATGACTCAGCTGTCGCCTAGTCTTTCATGAGCTTCTGATAGAACAAACTCAGCATTGTTGTAATTCTAGTGACATATGTTTTCTTTTTGTCAGATTGGTGAGGAGCTCGGAGACATATATGACTATGTGGCACCTTGCTTTCCTCCAAGGTTTGCCTTGTCAAATTTAATTATTGTCTGATTTTGGTTAGTTTTATGATTTTAGCTAAATGCTTGATTTTATTTGAACTTAACAGTTGGTTTGAAGTTACCATTCCTGCTCTTCATCATTTCGAAATACATTACAACTGAGAAAATAAATATTTACTCCAACAATTTGTCTCTCTGCATTTGATCTTTTTCGTGAATTTCATGTAGCTATTCCTTAGCTAATTCCGTATCTCCGAGATAGTCTACTTAACGCTTGATTAAGAACAATTATGATTGGAATCCCTCAGTCTGCAAACAGAAAATTGTCTTCAGTGTCTAAACTTTTAAAGAATGTGGCATAGGCTAAAGTGAATTATCAATGGGACCTCATTGGTCCCAGTATAATATAGTGTGACCGAGGATATTTTGTGCTTAACCTAGCTTTACCAATAAGGAACTGCCATCATTGAAATAAATTGATCATTACAATGATTAAGAAACATGTATGATCGTATTCATTTCATCATGACATGCCAGTTCATGGATTTATCTTTTGGTGTGCAGAGATTTTACTTTGTTTCCGGACAGTGAGGAAAGACCATCCAACCATGTCCTGTTTCCTTCAATACCCCGATAGATTATAGCTCCCAACATATGCTGTTTGATACATTGTTGCTGCATGCCAAATCATTCATATAGATTGTTAAAGTAGTTAATGTTTATGTATTGGGGTTTTCCCATCTATTTCTGGAATGCTGTGTTTAAAAACACAAAAGATGAGAAAATTAAGGATTGGTCGCATCAATCAATATCTTCTTTTCTTTTCTTTTTTGTTTTCCTTTTCCTAAGTTGTCACGAGAAATAAACTGCATATCGATTATATTGAGACTTGTGAGTTATATTTCTTTCTTCTGTGCCACCTATAAAAAAAATAAAATAAAAAAATCTTTCTTTTGTGCCATTAGATGAAGCTAGTTCCCAGTTTGTTTGCTTATAATGACCAGGTCTGTTCGTCTGGACTCCAATACGGGTGCTAATACCTTGTATTCTATTTAACCTTGAAACATTTTCTCTTTCAATTTTTTTTTTCTGTGATATTTCTCCAGTAACTAAATCTCTGTTTCTTTTACTGCTCTCTCAGTAAGTTCTTAGACGTAATATAGGTTTTTCTTTGATTGACTAGTGATTAGTTTTTTTTCCTCTGTTGCTAACATCCCTTCTATTATTACCATGCCTGTAGGTACGAAATATTCCAGCTCATGGTGAATCTTTACACTGAGAGATTTATTCAGTGGCTGAGACTGCTTAGTGATAAAGCTAATGAGCTTACAAATATAGAAATTTTGAAGGTAGTTAGTTGATAATTTTAAGATAATTACCATAAGTTATTTACTCTCATCAGTTGTCTTACTTCCAAGGATGAACTTGCTATGATAATCTGATGATATGCATATTCCTCATCCTTGAATTGCATGTAACATATATGATGCTTCTTGAACTTGTAGGTGCTGGGAAAATGTTTATATCTTAATTTTTCCGTGCTTTATATGATTCTCTATTTTCTATTTTTGCAATCTTTTTCACAAGTTCCCTATATCTCCTCTTGTTCAATCTTTTAGAGGATGTTTGTGCCCTAAAGACTGATTGTTTAGATATTTAAATCCTAGTATCAGTTCATAACTTGAAGGTGCAACACAGCCACAGAGGATTAGAGGGAGTTGGACAAAATAGAGATTTGTGGGATCAAAAAGATGCCTTCCAAGTTAAAATGGAAATATACATAACATTCATTATAATTTACGGTAATTGAGTTATAAATCATTAAAACGGCAAAATATCAATGAAGTGAAGATGTGAAAACTGAGGATGGCGAGATGATTATGTGGCGATACAATAATGTGTGAAATAAAAAATGAGAATATACACTATATAAGTGGAGTTGGCCAAACAAAAAAGGATAATTTAAGAGAATAGTGTGTCGTAGATTTAAAAAAGCTCTCATTAACAACATTGTGATTGTAGAACATATGAGAAGATGAAAAAGGAGACTAGAGTTAACATGGCAAAAAATAAAAAAATAAATAAATTGATTTTCATTTGACATATTAGTAGTTATAGCATTGGATCTAATGGTATAGTGAAAAAGGATTTATGCAGTTGACCCCAAGGTTATTTAGAATAATTGAGACAATTTCATTAACGGTGTCAGCCCCCGTAACCAAGTGAAACTAAAGGTGTGAAAGAGTCAGCTTCCCATCTGTTATGGGTTTTAACCTTGGAGAACAACGAATTTTTTTGTTACTCAGGAAATGGGACCCAAAAAAAAAAAAAAAAATCCTTCTTCATACTCTATGTTAACCTACTAGTACAGCCAATGATTATTTATACTAAAGGAGCTCTCCACTACCTACATAGGATAAATTGTATGTGAAATATCAGTGTCTATGAAAAAGTTTGTTGGAGAACTACAATCATTCATACTGTATTTCTTTATCCAGAAATAAAGAGCAAACCAAAAATCTTCTGTCCTAATAAGCATCGGTACTTAAATTTGTTACGTACCCATATTTCGATACGTATCCAAGCTCCGATACTCTTCGATACGTACCAGATGCTTTAATATTTATTGAAAATACACAATTAGAGTTTTAAAATTAACTAGACTTTTTATTGGAATGCACAATATTTTTTAATCTCTCAAGACATGTGAAATCGTATTATTTGATTCTATCACTAATCGGTATAACATGGATTCAAAAACTTGATGGCTAATTCATGGTTCACATGCACCTTTGCTGCAAAACATTACTTTAAAATTTCTTGTGCAACCATCTTCTTCATCTTGTGTTGAAAGAAATTGGAGTACGTACTCTTTTGTGCACTCTACGAAATGGAATAAAATATTTTCACAACTAGCTGAAGAATTAGTTTTCATTTATAGCAATTAGTGTCTTTTTATCCAGAAAATTAGATCTCTATTGAAAAAGAGAATCTAAAATGTGGGCGTCGCGGACACTCTTGAAGGTATTAGATTGCTTGAGGTTACTAATCTATTATTAGATGAGCCAATTTGGAGAATGTTATTTTTAATGATAATTAAGAAATTGATGTTGATGAAGAAAATGAAGTTTCGATAGTTGATTAAGATAAAATATTTTATTTTATTTGTATTATCATGGTTTGTATTAATTTTTATTTTTATTTATTTATATATTAAAATTTTAATGAAATTAAGTTGAATTTTATATCACGTATGGACTTATCTTAATTTTTTCGAAAGTCATATTGACGTATACATATCGTATCGCATCCAAATTACGTATCTGTATTCATGCTTCATGGCTTCTGTCGAGTCCCTAAATTCACCATTCCCTCGAAAGCTCTAGATTTCCTTTTCTAGATAACCAAGAAGTTTCAAAGTGAAGATGTATCATAAATCTTTTCCTACCACTTTCCCTTCTAAACTCGTATCCTCGGTCTTTCCATAATATAACTGGTTCCAGGACACGTGATCTTTCTTTTTTTTGGGATGGAAATACCAAGATAAGACGATTGCACGCCCTCATCATTGAACAATTGAACTAAAGAAATAATCTACATATAATCAATGTACCATTTTCTTTACACATCCTTTTATTGAACTGTTTTAAGTTTGGGAGGGTATATATGGAATTGAAAGAAATATAAGTACTGAAACAATTTTATTTAAATTATTGTGGTAATTGTTTGAAATTATAATCCAATAACTACCATTTAATATGATTCATGCTGAGTTGTTCCTTTTGTTTCTGCTTTCACACTTCATAATTTTCCTATATTGGTAGAATGGCTTTCCTGGTTGGCTGCGCTTTTCTGTAAGAAATTTAGATGGTCTAAATATACTTCATTGGCCCTACTTGGCTTTTTTTATTGCTTCTTATCATCCTGCTTCTGCTTCCGTTATATTAATCTTTTCGGCCTAATTTATTGTTTACTGAGCTGTTATCATGTTGAATACTAAATAATTGATATTAGGTAACTGGGTGGGTAGTTGAGTACCAAGATAATCTTATTGGACTTGGCGTTGATGAGTCACTGGCTCAAGTTTGTTCTGAGAGTGGTGCAATGGATCCCCTAATGAATGCTTATGTTGAACGAATGCAAGCCACAACAAGGGTAAAAACGCCAGAGAGATGTCGTCTTTTTATGTATTATATTAGATCACCTTAACTGTTTAACAAATTAATTTGAATCCTCATTCGGTTATGTAGAAATGGTACTTGAATATACTTGATGCTGATAAGGTACAGCCACCCAAAAAAACAGATGATGGAAAACTATACACCCCAGCTGCTGTTGACTTATTTCGGATCCTTGGAGAGCAAGTACAAATTGTACGAGATAATAGCACTGATGTCATGTTATACAGAATTGCTTTGGCCATCATTCAGGCGAGTGCAGCTTGATTAGTTTTCAAATAATTATCTTATTAAGAGCAGCCCACCTTTCCTGCTAAGTTACCTAGCTATCTTGATATATTTCATCACTGCCCAAGGTATATGTAAGTCTTGCCTGCGATTGCATGTTGCAACTATTTTGTGCCTAATCCATAACAGGTGTTCTTCCCATTACCATATTTGTATCGATCTTCTAAAGACTTCTCATTTTTCTCTGTGGAGCATGGAATTCGTGCTTAACTGAGTTCCATTACACCGTCGTTAACTGTAGGCCTTATGATAAGATCTTCAAAGATTCTGCTGTGAACCTAATTATATGCTCTCTTTCTATTGCTTATTCTCACACATGTACACACACACAGATAGAGAAGCAAACTTTCATATGCAATTGGTTAATATTGTTGCGTCAGATCGAAAAATCACTGTACATTCGGTAGTCAAAACATGTGTTTAAATCTTAAATCAAATGGTGAGATGAGAAAGCACTGTGATAACATATAGTGAAGTAGATCACTTGTTTAAAACCCAATGACGGAGTTGGTCCCACATTATGATCGGCAGTCATTCATGTTTGTAATTGGGCTAGAACGGACACGATACAATCATGGTGATACATGATTCTTGTCGACTAAGATTCCAAACAATATATGTTAGCAATTATGGTATTGATCTGTTTACAAGATGTATAGAGTGCTAGGTAGCATTTTCATTTTTTCTGTTCTTTCCCAGGTAATGATTGATTTTCAAGCTGCTGAAAGGCAGAGACTGGAGGAACCTGCTTCAGAAATTGGTCTAGAAGCTCTATGTGCGATGGTATGTGAATCTGCATTTGTATAGCATCTCAATGCATATTATAAGAGCAGTGTCTATTTTGTTGATAAGATCACTTGATTTCAGATTAACAACAATCTTCGATGCTATGATCTTGCCATGGAGTTAAGCTCTAGCACACTTGAATCTCTTCCACAGAATTATGCCGAGCAGGTTAAAATTTTATTTCAAAATATCTATCCTTGCAGAGGATCCAAATTTGCATATCAAAGTTCAGCAGAATTCAAAGTTTTTCTTCTTGCATTGTTGCACTAATTTTAATATTCCTCTTAGTTATTGAGGTGGTGTATTACCGTGTTCCGCAATAGAAAAAGTGTGTTGAATCAGTATAGATGGATTATACTAATGCCATCAGCCGTTTTAGGCTCCAATATTCATATTCATTGAAATTATCCAGGCCACCTAGTGAAGTGTATCTCAGATTGTACAACTCTGTATCACCATACCGTGCCTTTTGCTTTAGAAAACGTGAAAGAGGAATCAATGAACGATATAAAGGGGCTGCAATCTAAGGAGATGGGCACCTGCATCACACATATTGCACCTTACCTCTTCTCCTCTCTAAAATCTCTGTGACGGAGATTGTGACAAAGATTCCACCATTGACATTTATCGCTTTTTGAGGAGGATAAAACATTGATATGATCATCTGGCTTCTGGGACTTGTGTGTATTCTAAAAGATTTGAAAAAATTATGATTTTTAATCCTTAGGTTTGCTCAGTGGTTAGGCCTTAGGTTTGCTCATCAATGGTCACTAATTTGAGTTCTCTCGGAGCCATTGAGGTGAGTATCCGACTGTAAGCTTCAGGGCCCTGTGGGATTAGTCTAAATGCGTGTAAACTGGTTTGGACACCCACGGTCATAAAAATAAAAAATTATGATTTTTCTTTGAACTGTGAGGCATTCTTGTTACCTGTGAGTTGTTTACAATGTGGCGCAGTTTAGGAACAAACAATATTTCTCTTTGTTAAAACTGTTTTAATCACTTTACAGGTGAATTTTGAGGATACCTGCAAAGGCTTTCTGGAAGTTGCCAAGGTATGTCAATGGGCTCCCATAATATTCTGCTAGCTTTCATTCAAATGTGCATAATGCCTTCTTTATATCGTAACCATATAATATGAGTCTCTCTTTTCTCCTGTTTGCCTATATTTTTCTTATTGTTCATTTGGTTGATTGATGTTCACTGCTATTTCAAATATCAATGCTTTCAAGAATTTTGTACTAGTAATTTATTTTCGAAACATGTTCTTGTCTGATCATTCTATTGGTGTACTATAATAGCATATGACTAAACACTCATACAGTTATGCAAGTTCTTCTCTTCTGTTTCTGAATATATGTATTTTAGCAGTTTCTTGGTAGCATATGTTGATTCATTCACGAGGACTTTTGGGCTTAATTACCCAGACATCTTTTCTTTCTGAAATTTGGGCTACTCATAGGCAAATGTTTTATGAACATTTGTTTGGCTGCAGTTGCTTGACCAAGAGATTTCTTTCCTTTTTAATCTTTTTTTTTCCTTTATTTTTATTTATTTATTTATTTATTATTTTTTTTTTTTGGGTCGAAGGACATTTGTTTTCTGAATTGATCCATGCACAGGTTTTCACATTTATTCATTCCTTTTCTCTACATTTCTTTGAGTGTTCTATTTCTCGCATCATATTTCCCTTCATGCCCAGTATTAACATGGTTGAACTACTTTTAATGTGCATGTTGATAGTATTTACATTCAGTTTTACTGGATTAGCTACTTTATTCAGGAAGCCTCATACATGTAGAGTCCGTGACTGCTCTTGACTGGGTGAAAATTGATCCGTTGAATCGATTACATTAAATTTTATGCTGGCCACTTGTCTAATAACTCATTCCAGTGCTTTGTTATGATCTAAATAATTAGTCTTGCTTTGCTTTCTATACATTCTTAATTTGATTTGTAATGTGGCTTGATGAGGAAGATTTTTATCTTGATAGAAAGGACCATTTTTCGTTAACATGTTATGAACAATCAGTAAACATCTACAGTACTAACAAAAATTATCGAAACATTGTGAAAAAAATTGGACTATTTTTAGATTTAGATCCAATTCTTCATGGTTTGTAAAATGCCAATGCCTGAAATATGTGCTTGAGTTACACGATGCCCCTTGTGTATCATTGTAATGATTCCTCAGCTATTTTCATGTTTCTTGCCTGTTACATAAGTGAGACGTAGTCATGTATTTTGTTGTACAGAACTGTTATTCTCATCTATTTCTTTTCTTAGACAATTCCAAATAAAAGATGTTTTGTCGATGGTGTTCGGAGAAGGATGGCATCTGAAAATTACTTTGATATTTGTTATTTCTTTGTATTGCTGCGGATTGCATCCATACATTTTTCATTTGGGCTGTGTGGTTATATATTATGATTTCCTGATCATTAGAACATGAAAGTTTCTCGCTGATGTTAGGAAGCTGTTCATCAAACTGTTAGTGTCATTTTCGAGGATCCAGGAGTTCAAGAATTACTTGTAAAGCTATATCACAGAGGTAATGATTTTACTGCCGCCCACCTTTCTCCCCTGGTCCTTTCTTCAATATGCGGTGGATGCTACTGAAAATACATTCTTCCTGATCATTAGTAGCACAACGAATGCACATCATTGATAGTTGCCTTTTCAGTATGTCAAGTTATTGTATAAGGAGTTCTAAATAATGGAATTCTCATTGTGATTTGTCAGAAATTGCTATGCTGTAGATCGTTTTTTTGTTTTATCATGTGCCTTGCGGATATCTTGGCTCACTCACCATATATTTGCTTGTGTAGCACATCGCTGGGATTCAAAAATTACTGGCTTCAGTTATGATATTCCAGTTGATTGATATTGAGTGACATTTTGTGGGTGGGGTAAAGAGATCAAGCTAAGCACGTTTTCAAGTATAGTTATGTGTAAGCCTTGAGGTATTGGGCTGAGAGCTTAAACTTTATTTGGGAGGACATTATCAAATTAATGATAGAATTTATCTTGTAAACGTCAGATGATTGAGTCCATAGACAGATTTTCATATTTTAAGGTATAAAATATTATTTTTGAAGAGATGTTTGTATTGATGTGATGTTATTTATATATCAGATTGGTTAGAAGGGCAAGTCACGGAGTACCTTGTTGCCACATTTGGTGACTATTTTTCAGATGTCAAGATGTAAGTTATCCCAGTCTGTTTGGGTAAACAATGACTACTAGTTTCAAATGTATCTATATCAAAAAGCCCTGTCCATTCACCATTTTCACATGAACGTCACATCTTGTATTGAGTTTATGCATTAAAGTTATTCTACCTCAATGTAAAGGTACATTGAAGAAAGATCATTCAGAAGATTCGTTGAGGCCTGCTTGGAAGAAACTGTTGTTGTCTATGTGGATCATCTACTTGTCCAGGTTCCTAACATGAGAACATCTTATTTACACAACATTCTATGCCAGTATTTGCACGCAGCTTTTATATATATATATATATATATATATGACCTTGATTATTTTGTAATATATGCCTTGTAGAAAAATTATATCAAGGAAGAGACGATTGAAAGGATGAAGCTCGATGAAGAGGTTCTCATGGATTTCTTCCGGGAATATATAAGTGTTCCTGTAAGCTTCGTCACATTTCCTTCAGGGTTCTTCCTGTGGTGGTGATATTTGAGATATTAGTGAATATGGACTTACCTCTTTACAGGAACAGCTCTCGGATAGGTTGCGATTGCCCCCTTTGTTGCTACACCAACATAATACATAGAGAGAATATAAAAAACAGAAATAAAGGGCTCTGAATTATGTTGGTTACTTAAAGATTGAGTTGAAACTAATCAATACAGACTGGTCCATGTATTATATCCTACCTCACTGTACCTTACTTTCTACTCTAACCAAAACTAATATTAATTTTTACCTCTAATGTGGTCTTATCTGTCTATAATATTGCGTATTTTTTCTGTAGTGAGTACTGGTTTTATATTTAAACAAATGCTTTACCATTTATTTTGCAGAAAGTTGAAAATAGAGTTAGGGTACTCTGTGACTTGAGAGAACTTGCTTCATCGGAGAGTCCAGATTCTTTCACACTTGTGTACACAAATATTCTCGAACATCAACCGGACTGTCCTGTAAGTGTTAATTGAGTGAGTTATAATACGTTTTTGTTGTATCTCTGCGGCACTAGTGAGTCAGTAAAAGCTGATTACTTTAGTATCCAAAGAGAAGCAAGCATTAGTAATTCGTTTTCGAGTCACTTTTTCCTCTTCAACAATTGATTAAGAAAGATAATCTACTTCTCTTTGTTTTCGGTTAACCTCTGCTCTTTCGTTGATCAGCCAGAAGTGGTTGAAAAAATTGTCAGCTTACGAGAAGGCATACCAAGGAAAGATGCTAAAGAGGTAAATATTACTAGAAATGAGTTTCTATATAAGAAATTCAGAGTCAACTTTGGTTCATGGATTATCTTTGCTGATAAGTGAATTGAGGTTGCCTATGGAAAACGTGATTTGTTATCAATACTATAGAAAAGACTATATATTGGATGATTTGGTACGATATAATGAGTACAGTTAGTTCATTTTACGATGTTTGCTTTAAGATAAGTAGCTTGAGATTTACTATTTGCATCCTTGATGTGCATTTTCTTTGTCAAACAGGTTGTTCAGGAGTGCAAAGAAATATATGAAAACTCTCTTGTCGATGGGAATCCACCCAAGGCGGGTTTTGTTTTTCCAAAGGTGAAAAGCCTATCGGCTTCCAAAACCCCCTTGTGGCGAAAGCTTACCTAGTTCCGGAGCTGTGCCAGACGCATTCGCATTGTTTGTCCATGAACCCAATTTGTCAACCTTCCGCTCTCTGTATTTTTGAGGTTTTATTTGATTCATTCTCCTCCTTAAATATATATATTTAGGAAAGCTTATATCTTATTCATGAATTTCAAATGAATGCAGTATACGAAATTACATTTATCTAAACAATCTACTTGGAATATTATGGGAAGAGGTTTAAAAGTTGATTAGCCTTTGAGAGGAAAAAAAGGGAATGTCTGAGAAATTAAATTTAATTTTACTTGTGAGATTTATCACTTTTTGCGTGTTTGGTACATCGTATTCTTTAGTTTCTTTTTCTTTCTCGATAAAGTTTAGAGATATCTAAGCCCCTGTTTGGTCCCCCTTACGTGGAAAAATTAATGGGTGGAATAGTGTTTTTTTGAAAAATGAGTTGTTGAAAAAGAATGAAAAATTTTCGATTTATGTATAATATTATTTTATGAAAAATTGTGTGATTGAAATTAGGAGAGAGAAAAATGAAATTTAATGTAATGGGCCCAAACAGGGGCTAATTCTCTATAGCGTGAGTGCAATTGCAAACGACTGAAGAGAGAGGAGAAACCCTACAAATGCATAAAAAAACTAAGCATATGAATTCCGTGTAAAAAGAAATTTGAGGGGAAAATGGAAAGAAAACTTCAGTGGAGAATGAATATATGCACTCGAGCAAAATTGATCGACCAATCAATTTCTATGGTTTTCACATAAAGAAAGGGGGAAAAGGGAAATTATGAATGATATAAAAGAATAAAGCAAGAAATAAACAAAACTCCTAATCAATCTTAAGCCCCGAAAACATGAACACCTTACGCGTTTTTTATCTAGAAAATCGCAGACGTAGCAACCTTTCACCAGCTCCCTACAGATAGAGCACCAAAATCTGCTCAGAGAATGCTTGCGCATAGAATGCAGGCTCTTGCAAAAACATCAGTAGTAGGCCTCAGAAAGGGGGAAAAGGGAAATTATGAATGATATAAAAGAATAAAGCAAGAAATAAACAAAACTCCTAATCAATCTTAAGCCCCGAAAACATGAACACCTAACGTGTTTTTTATGATATAAAAGAATAAAGCAAGAAATAAACAAAACTCCTAATCAATCTTTAGCCCTGCCTACAGATAGAGCACCAATATCTGCTCAGAGAATGCTTGCGCATAGAATGCAGGCTCTTCAAAAAACATCAGTAGTAGGCCTCAGCGAGCTGCTCATTGTATCCTTGCTTCATATCTGTGTCATTTGGAAGCCCGAGTTGAAAGAATATAATGCTACCCTTGAGAAGCATCATGCACATTAGGAAGAAAGGGAAAAAAAGCAGAATACTACTTGAATATCATACGTTTCTGAAGTTTGGCTTAGATACCAGAATCTCACGAACAGTTTAAGGAAAAAGATTTAAATTGTTCACAAATATGGCCAGAGAATAAAAGTAACAACATTTTGTTTAGAACATAAATTTTCCCAACTGAGAGAGAAATCTTCAGACAAAATTAAAGTAAAATGTACACAACTTTAAGATAATAAACTGATGGATTATTTCCAGCTCAAAAAGGCAACATGCATTTTGACAAGGAGAAGAGATTATGTTTTTGAAGGACAAATCTGGAACTATTTACGTTCCCCCCCCCCCCCCCCCCCCCCCCCCCCCACCCCACCGCC